TATGCTAATTTAATGTTACACTTTGCCACAAACTTCATTCTTTATTTCTCCTTGACAATGGCGTCATGATGACACCGAAACGTCGGTTTTTATCGTTAGTTTTTGCTAGTCTTTGATGTTGTTATTGGCTATTTTAAATAGGTTGAAAAGTTTTAGATTGTATTTCCTCATGTTTGCAAATAATTGCATTTAATGGAAGGTGTAGTTGTTGTAACATGTTAACATGAAATGCAACCTTGAATTTTATTGATATGTAAAGATTTTTCATTTGACTATCTACAGGCAAGTCTTTGTATTATGTTTCAACCCAACCACTTTCCACAACTTGTAAACACCATTACAAAATACTGAGCCAAGAAAATGGAAAATCTGTGGCATGTACACCATGTTTGAAATGCCACATCCAGAATAAGCTAACAGGATTTAGGAGGGTGTATGTGGGATTAGGCTCTCTTGTTTGTATCATTAATTTGCTAATTGCTCTTGTTACCAATGTTTTGATGAAGTTGGGCTGTCAGGGCAAAGGGACTGAGGATTTTAGTAGGCAGTGACTTTTTTAAACTTGAACTTTTTAAACTATCATCGTGAAAGTCATACTTGTGCCTGGTGACTTATTCTTATTCTAATAAACTAGTTTTAAGAAGGACGTAATATTTTATTACATAAATTTGATGCATAGGTTGACGACCTATAAACTTTTATAGTTAATCAATCCCTACACATAATGAGTTGTGAGTAGGTTCAGAGGGAAAAATGTGCCACATATTTGCAAGATTTCATGTAACCATTTTAATTACATGAATATTAACTGCTATTAGGAGATCTAAGAATATTCATAAGAAGGTACAAATTTGGTTGAAGAATTCAGCATATGCTAAATAAGCAAGATTCCAAGAAAAAGAAATGTGTTCTAATCAAAAAGCTTAGCAAACTTTTATGCAACACCTGCTTGTACCTGTATGTTATGTAGTAAAGTCATTTGGAGTCCTAATCCCAGTTTTAATGTTAAAAACATACATGCAGATTTCCTATACACCTGTTGTTCAAGCTTGCCATGACTTCAAAATTTTGAGGCTCACCTCAAAAGGAGAACAAATGAATTTCAAGTTTATGTTTATTCAGTAAGGTTAGTGAGATAAAAATTGATCCCAACCCCATGATTCATATGATGACAGGTTCAAGAAATTTTCATAAGTAATTTATGTATTAGGTTAGCCCACCTACCTGGAACAATAGCCTTCATGTACAAATTAGACCAGGTTTGTACTGATAGTGGGAAACACTGTTTTACAAGAAAATAATGATCAAGAATTTGTGGCAAACCACAGCCCTGGGTGTTACACTAATTTTAAACTTAAGAGAGTGCTTTGAAAATAGAAACTTGCTCATGCACAAAAGAACCATCTGGGGTAAGAGGGCAGGTTTTCCTTTCTTTGTGAAAAAAAATATTGAGCTTATCATATTTCCACAAGCTCAGTGAACAGTGAAAGTGAATGAGACTGATAGTCACTATGTTATTTTAATAAATATCCAGAGGAGAATAAAAAGTAAGATATGGTCTGCACAAATTTTAATTTTTTTAACCCATAAAGCCAAGTTGTTTATATTCTTGCTTTGTGCCTTACGTTGATGCCAACTGATATAACTTTCATCCATCAAAATACAGAAAATGTTCTCTTAATCTATGTGCCCTAAACATTACAGGGGAGGAGGCAGGTCAAAGTAAACACATGAATTAAAATAGGGGGACCCAATTAATTTCAGTCCTAATTTAAGGAGAATCATTGCTTTTCCAGCTTCCCACCCTTTAAAACTCACATTTCTTGTGACCAACTCATTATATCAATGTTTAGTCTGGGAATGAGCATTGGTTAGAAACACCATGCACTATTGAAGGCTTGAGCAAGAGTATTTAATACAATCTAAATAATAATACATGTTACAATGTGGTAACTTACACAGCAAAACTATATAATTACACAATTCTAAACAAAGGAAGTCAGGTTATAGACTGACCTGCTTCAACTTTTGAGGGCTTAAGGAATGGAGAAATAGATATGGTAAACAATTACAACTAATAGAAAGTTGGAAGATTGAAACTAAAAGATACACATTACAATCATCAAACCAGCCCTATGCATCCAGCATAACATCTCCCAAACATTCATGCTTGCAGGAAATCATTAATTCCTGTCCCTACAATAGTTCTACCAACACAAATGCATTTTTTATAGTTATCTCACTGTATGACTGTACATGTCATGTGGAAGGTTCCTGCATGGTGACTGAAATTTCAATTACCTCAGCAAACAGTAATCATCAGAATTGCAAGCCAAGGTGTATCAAATATTACTTACATATTCAAATAATTACCCAAATCGAAAGTTATAATTTTTTAATGACCTGCCTCCTTTAATTGTGCTCCAGAAATACCTTTCCCTGTAAACAAACTATAATGAAGCACGATATGAATAAATCAAACCATTATACTCCAGTAAAGTGTTCTTATGTAGAATAAAGTTTCAAACTCATTGAAATTAAGTCTACTACACAATCCAGATTTTAGTTAAAGAAATGTGTAATACCCCTTTTCAAGGATGAAAAAGCAATGCCAGTTATGAATTTCTAAAAGGAAATGCTAAAAACTCAAAGATGGAATTAAAAACAAATGCCAAAATATGGCATATCTATTCATTAAGATTTTAATCATTAGCTAGCACACAGAGATTTAAAGAGGCTTTGTGAAAAAACCAGGGCACTAAAATTAAAGATTCAGGAGAAGCATATGACTTAAACTAGTTTACTGATCTGTTCACCTGAATTCAATCCGGAAAGAGAACTCTGCAACACTTCTGTTTTATCTTCTCACACTTGAATTAAAACATGAAATTTAATAATTCGCAGGCAGGTTAGGGAGGACACTAAAGGATGGATACATTTTACATAAAAAGAAACCCATTACAATAAAATAAAGCAGAAGCATATTACCTACACGTCTATGCCTCTGAGTACAGCTATAAGAGGAATTTTTAAGCTACTATCTACATATGTACACCGGGTACAATGTACGGTCGTGAAAGCAATTTTATTCTAACCTTCCCCCTTGAAGGATGCCTTGTGTATCAAATATATCAAGTTTAATACCTCCAGACTCATGAGCCGGGCTTTCGGGGCTACAAAATAATAAAATAATCACTGAGTTATGCTTGCCCAATTTATGGAGAATCAACGGTTAATTAAGTATAGTTTCCTAAAATCGTAATGAAAGTTTAAAATGTGCTTCACCTATATACGGATTTATCGTTTTAATTACTAATGGAATTCCGAGGTTGTGACTCAATTAATTCAAAAGAAAATAACCAAGCAGGTGACAGAAATGGTGCACGAATTGTAAACTGATGATGTGTCGACAAAACGTCCCGAAATGTGCTTTGATGATGGTGCCGATACGAGTTTATCGTTCATAGTCACCTATGAAATTCCGAGATTGTAACTCAATGAATTCAACAGAAAATATTCAGGAAGGTTACAGAAACAGACTCGTGAATTCTCCAAAACTGCTCTTGAATTCGAAAACTGTAAGCAACAATTAGTTACGCTAACCATGTGCTTACCAGCGTGCTAATGAGCTCAAATTGCTAGGACCCCGTTTCATTACACGATAACTCCTCTGAAGCTTCTTGCAAAATGTGATGACTATCAAATCCAGAGACTTCATTTCAAGGGTAAAACAACACATCTTCGACAAAGCCCGGTTTTTTTAAAATGAATAGAGTAAACCCTGCGATTGTTAACTGAAGATAGAATGACAGAAAGTTCCTCACGCCGTTCGCTATCATTGCTTAAGTAGGACCTTGTACGGTCGGTCGTATGGTCGTTAGTCCAAATTTTTCCGGCTTGACGGGTTGCTGTTACTTCCTGTAATTATGGGCTACACCGCGCGCTGCGAACTTCGCTATGAATGTTAAAATTGTCTGCCTCGGAAATTTAACAACTATACGTATAAAAATTATATCTAAACTATTTAAAGATGGGGATGCAGACTTAAGTTTCAAACAGTGGTTAGCTCTCAAGCGTCGAAAATCATTTGCGAAAATAAAAAATTCTGAGATGTTTAGACCAATGTCTTATAACACTCCGTAAGCGAAGAAAGGCTTCAAATCTTCTTTGATGCAGTGTTGGCCATTTAAGAAACTTTAGACGTGGACATGTCCCGCCCAGTATATATCTCCATCTTGCTTGAAGAGAAAGAGAGCGTATGTTCACAGGAGAACGGGTTATCTTAACACACTTCAAAGGGGCATGCCTTTCCAGGCAGTCTTGCAGCATTGTGTTGAACATTTGGGTCATTAACACCGTATGTTTCACTCATTGGTAAGCTTTCAGGCTATTCAGAGAAGTGCCGTTCATTCCTGATGTACTTGTATCACGGTTCAAATCGGTTGACTCGTGTGTTCTTTGTTAGTTGTTTTCTAGCCATGTCTCACTCATACTGATACTATCAAAAGGATAATGATTGATTGTGAGAACATCACTATTAAATAAACAGTCCTTCCCAGGACTAGTCTCGCCATGACGATCAGAGTAAACGATGAAGGATGTTATAGATCTCTCGATGGAGACATTGCCATGACTTGTTGTTCTTATGCTGCATTAGAAAGATAGCTGCTGCCTGTTGTGGATTTTCTCCCAGCTTTATGGCTGTATCAGAATTGACTTCAACGGGAGACCGTCAAATCGTAATAATTTACTAGTCTATGTCAAATCAAAATAAGCCATGACTGGAAAAGTTAAAAAGTGAAATGATAATGACGCTTAGGAATCACGATTTGAGAACTTGGTTATTCGCTTTTGTTTGTTTGTTTTTTTTTGTTTAATTATTTTTTTTATTTTGTCGCGAATAAACCTTCCATTGCATGAGGCTACAGTAATTGTCAGCTGATTAGAATTGTTCTGGTTTTCAGTTGATCAATTGAAACGCACGAGAAGAGAGGCTGGATATGGATAGTGAATATGTACCAGTATCCAAAGAATTCAAGATTCATGTCTTTCGAAGGGATGGAAGCGTGTTGAATGATATAAGACAGAGATCCGGAGCAATAATTACATCCAGAGATAGAGAAGAAGGAGTTGCTGTGAGCGGAAATGACCAGCAGAGAGAAACTGCAAAAAGACTAATTTTAGAAAAAGAGGTGAGTTGATACTTTACATATAAATGATGCAATAACAAAAATATAATACCCATATAAAAAGAAAAATTCTGAATACCATATCCTTTATTTCCAGATTAGTTTCTATGACCTGAATCCTTTCCTAATTAGATGTTCGAAAGGTAATTGTTGAACAGTGTATGAATTTTTTCATTAACGTCGGTAATTATGAACATAATTGAACTCGTTTTTTCATTCGAATGTTATTGAGTGTCCACGAATGCTGTTTAGATTAGATCTACTGACACGCGAGCTGCAAGTCACCGCCTTTTTTCTTCGCAGGAGGAACTGGTGCTAACCACTAGGGAGAAAGTGGAGATTCCAACCGAGTACAAAGGCTTTGTGATTGGAAAGTACGGAGCTAATCTTCTCAGGATAAGCAAAGAAACAGGGGCAGAAGTGATCCGTGAAAGAGGAGAGGTGTATATTATTCGGGGAAACAAGCAACAAAGGGATCAGTCAAAGTTGCTTATTAAACGCAGAGTGGTAGGTAGTTTGGATAAATTTTGTTTGCCCTCAATCAATAAATCGTCAGTTACGCAGGGTAGAAAATTCTGTGAGTCTTTTATTGAGCTTTAACCAGTTTTGTTTGTTACGACAATGTCGTTATAATTTTTCTTGCAATACTATTACTAGAGGTGCAATTGTGTTATTTGTTCGTGTTCCCGATATTTTTGCACATGCTCAAGCTCAAAAGCATGCCAAATGTGGTTCTCATTATCATACTCGATAACGTTAATACAGAAAAAGTAAAGAAATGAACAAGTGCACCCTACTTCAAGAAGGGTACACTTGTAATTGTTGCACGTGCTCCAAAAAAATGACAGGGTTTATTCAATAACAACTTGCAAGTGATGAGTTGATGTTTTTCTCATAAACGACGCGGTAACAAAATAAAATACCTAAAAAGAATACTGGATACCACACCCTTTAGCTCCAGATTAGTTTCTATCGGGTAAGTCCTTTCCTGATTGGATGTTCAAAAGGTAATTACAGAGTATGAATTCGTCAATGAAAGAAGGTGATTATGAACATAATTAGACTCGTTTTGTTCATTCGAATGTTATAGAATGTCCACGAATGCTGTTGAGATTAGATCTACTGACTGCTGCAAGTCACCGCCTTTTTTCTACACAGGAGGAAAAAGAGGTAACCAGATGGGAGAAAGTGGAGATTCCAACCGAATACAAAGGTTTGGTAATTGGAAAGCAGGGAGCTAGTCTTCTCGAGATAAGCAAAGAAACAGGGGCAAAGGTAACTCATGGAAGAGGAGAGGTGTATATTATTCAGGGAACCAAGAAACAAAGGGATCAAGCGAAGTTGCTTGTTAAAAGTAGAGTGGTAGGTAGTTTGGATAAATCTTTGTTTGCCCTCAATCAGTAAGTTTTGTTCATTCAATTCTTTGAGTCTTTTTTTAAACTCAAACCAATTTTGTTCGTTACGACAATGTCGTAATTATTTTTCTCGCTATATTATTACCAGAGGTGCAATTGTGTTATTTGTACGTGTTCCAGATATTTTTGCACATGCTCAAGCTGAAAGGCATACCAATTTTTCCTCTATCTAGGTGCCCGAGAGGATTTTCCTCAAGGTCTAACTGTGCGTGTGCGTTTTTTTCTCTTTTTCTCCCCTTCGTTATTATTTTGTTTTAATCTACCACTACATCTACTTCGTATATCTGTGTTGGCAGATGTTTAAGATAACTGCAGGTGCAAAAAAATGAATAGTGTAACATTTGATAACCACCTCCAATCCCCCTTCTTTCACTGAAAAGCATTAAAAACGTACAAAGGAGCTTATTATTTTCAGGCTTTAGCAAGACGTAGGGGCTCAAAAAACAATAGAAATACAGTCAGCTGTTTCTTTGACGGTCGGAATATTTCCGAGAACTGTAAACTGAATCTGGAGCGAGTGTTCCCTGGGTCTTATACGCACTTCCGACCACAACCTTCAAAAGAATCCAGCCTACAGGATTGCACTTGTGTATTTCAATTTGAGGTCTAAACAAGATGTCAAGCGAGTAAATTATTAGTAGACAATTTAAAAGGAATGAAATGGGGTCGTGGTTAGGCAACGCGTAGTTTGTCATGGCTGCAATATAGCCCTGTTTTCCAACTCATTTATTAGACTAACAGGGGGAAATAGAGATTAGTACTTTTGAGGAAGTAAAAAATTCCATGCGGATATAAAGGTGATAATTGGTAGGCACGGAGCACGGATATCATCAAGTTTCTCTTTTTTGTGCGGCAGCTACTCCCAGGCTTGTGATGTCCGTTTTTCTGGCTTGGTAACAGAATCTTTGCATGCTGTGGTCAGTAATGAAAAAGGAAGGTTTTGTCATCCTGCCATCTACAGTTGGGTTAACCTGATCACAAATATATGAAAAATCACTAAGGAAGACTTCAATTTCAGGTTAAAGCAAAACTAAGAGGGGTGAGGAACAAATTTTATAATTACTGTGCCTTCATTGATGGCTGGAATCTCTCTGAAAACTGCAAATTGAAGTTGGTTTTAGTGCCTGGAAAAGAGGGGCAGTATCGACTGAGACCTTCAAGTGAAGAAGGCCAACAGGTGTGTCGTCCTTAATATACTTATCGTTGGCAAAAACAGTAACAACTTTGTATTATATGACTTTATATGGCACTAAATGAGGCCCTTATTATGGGCTTGATATAAAACATTTTGGACAAGGTAATGTACACTTATCACGGCAGTGTGTTCGAGAGTTGAACTTGTATTCTGATGGTCGCAGGCTAAAGTTCTCTACCCATCTTCTTAATGAATTCATTTTCGCGACTTTTGCACAGCCTTCCCGTTGGTCTCCTATCCATTAAATGTATGTAGACTAAGTGTTTTCATTCTTTAAGGATCACAACGAAAAGTACTGAGTCGCTAGTATCTGTGCCACCTGTGTTATTAAGTTTTGTTACCGACAAAAGATATCTGGTGGAATCTACTTCTTAGTACCTTCCTTCTCCATGGTGCCAAACAAATGAAATGTAGGTTTTGGAAAGAAATAGCCCAATCGTAAATGTATAAAATTGATTGTATAGGGAAATCTGGTCTATAAAACCAGAGACCCAAGCCCTCAAAAATTCATGTTGTCATCCACAATCAAACCAGCTCAAGAAGACGGCCTCCTTAAAATCATCTTATATCGAAATAACCCAAACGATCAAAAAATTTTCTTTTCCATTTTCTTGTCGAGGTCTTCATTCCGTTTTTGAGAATTAGCTCTATTCATGTACCGTTCAATGTTTTTGTCGATAAATCTCCCATCAGCACGAGAAAGAGAACTTATATACAGTCTGAAAATAATCCCCGGGTCTCGTCAACGGTTTCTGTTTCTTAATATCAGGTGTTGCCTGAAGTCGTGAGGGTTAAAGGTGCTTCTCTTTTATAGACGTCTTACATGTAGTGCTGATGACTAGCTGAAAGTTTAAGGAGAAACATAGCTAATGAAGCTACAAATCCTCACCAAAAACCTTTTTTGGCATTAGTAAGTTCACGGAAAGTATCCTCATTAAAGATCCTGAATAAAGCAATGCAACGCTGTTATAGTCAGACCATGCTGAAGAAAAGCCAATTGTAAATCTACATTTTTTGCTAGATCTTCCTTATTCTCATGTAATCATAATTGATATGAAGATTGGCAAAACAAGTCTATTATGGTTACCGTCCAATTTTGTTGTATACTGATGTCAGCCAGGCAGGAAACTTTTGTACTCTTTTGTTATCAGAAATCTGTGAGCGACTCGCGTTATTTGTCCAAACTTCAAGACGCTGTGTTGGAATCACTCCGCAAAATGAAAGGCCATGAAGAAGTAAAGAATCCTGTAGAGGCTGATATCTGGTGTCATTTTGGATCGGCTGTGATCCGCAGACCAAGTGAAGGTAGGTAACCCGTAGGACATAAGAAAACGTGTCCGTTTCAAGTTTTGAAATATACCATGTACATCTGTATACCCATAGAAAACCAAAACATCTTCCCGTCTTGTGAAATGGAACCACACGGGAAAATTCCCAGGTTTAAATTTGTTAAAGGCCTTTAGTTTGGAGGACACGATGAAGACACTTTGAACGCAAAAAAAAGCAACGACAAATATTTAATTTTTCTAGCATTATAAAATTTTCTGTTTTCTTATTTACATGAGAAGAAAAACGACCCGCAAATTAAATGTGCATTCAAGATTTTTGGCAATTCCATTTTTGCTGTCCGCGATTTCAGCTTTCATTTCATTGTTTTTGCCAAGTTTAAGCGTTTCAAGTACTTGTTGTAAATTTTAACGAGACTCCATGAAAGTTTTAATTCAAGCTGAGGCAATAGAAACAAATTTTGTTGAAGGAAAATAGTGAACCACTAGTAAAAAAAAAAAGCTGGACGGTATTTGAATCATTTCACTAGGCTCGAAGTTGTTGTCTTTCGATTTCGCCGCTTTTGTCGTGGTGCGGTCAAACTATGTTAGTAATGAATTAAAAGTTAAGTTCTCATAATCGAAATATATTTCACCGGTTGAAACTCTACACCTGGCCCTTATTTCGCCGAAAAAACCTCCAGAGCTTATCAAAACTGCTTCCTAGGCTTGCAAACTTAAAAACTTTCTAGTTTGACTAGGAATTAAAGATATGATGTTAGACCCAACTTACACGACACAGTGTGTTTACCACTTTATCACATCTTAGAAATCACCAAATTCAGTCGCTCAAGTGCAGGTTGTTTTAATCATAAAAATATTTATTGATCCAGTATGATTAGTTTCTGAAAACAAGCCCTGCAGTGAAGTTGTCTCATTGGCAGGGAAAAAGTTGCGATTACGAGCATAAAATGGTGCGATTAGTAAATAATTCGCCCTGATGAGAGCCAATCGGATTTGCAAGGATCAACGGTGATTTCATTTGAAATGGATATAATTAAGTGTATTATTACTGTTATTATCGCTAAGTATGGAATAATTGTTATTTTCATCATCATCATTATTTACTAATCTAACGCAATACCTTTCCTTCCTCTTACACACTCAAGCATTCAAATCAAAGGTGTTCAAATTTGTGATTATCAACAATACAAACTAAGCTCAATTAAGCTCTGTTTCCCGTCAGGAGAGTGGAGTATAGATGATGCGACAACAAGATTTGAATATTCTGCCGATGGAGATTATTGGAAAGTTACACTTCAAGAAGGCGTGGATTTCATGGCAGATTTATTCGAGAATTATTTCTATGAAAATACACCGAAAGAATATCGTGATTACACCGCCAGATTTGACTTAACATTCCTTACTCCATGCAGTCATGAACTGAAATGCAAGGTTAGTCAGTTCAAGGGTCTGATTACATGGGCGGCGACTCGCCCAATTCCAACATTGGCTTTTATGATGCTGTAAGCAATTCATCACACGAAGAAAACTTTTAAAATAATGGCTGATGAATAAAGAAATGAAAGTCGAATGAACTAAGGTCTTCTTAATGTTGTACATTATGGGCAGTTTCGAAGATGTTTCCTTGCACAGAAACAGCATCAAAAGAAAGCTGAACCAAACCTTAAGGGCCGGTTACTTACAATGGGTCTTACCCAAGGAAGCAGCGGACCTCAGTGATTCTCTTGTGCAGGGAAGGTTGATTTCATCAAATAATTGTTCTTTCACTATTAGCTATTGGACCTCTTTACACTGTTCACAAAAGTAAATGTTCAGATAAAAGGTTGGGCTACATTGAAGATGGTTTAGAATGCAGTTTTGTTAAACAACGGCTAAACTTTGTTAGCATAACTGGTCTTAACAATTTTGAATAAGCACTGACTACACTAGATTGCTTCGTGTCAAAACGATAAAACCTTGGAGTAAGTTAGCTTAATTATATTATCATTTATAACATAGGTAGTAAATTTGTGTAATCAAATTCAATTGCGCGAGCGTGCTTCACTGTACACGCTCATGACGTCAGCAAACAAGTCCGTTGAGAAAAAAAATTTTCCATCGGGTTGAAAATGTTATAAAACAATTGGTTCATACGTCAGCTGTGCGTTCATCGAGATATGAAGCACTTGGGAAGTTTGGAGAGCACTCAAGAAGCTAGAGTTGCTCTCAGCTATGTCTCGAGAAACTCTTACACATCTTTAATGCTCTCCAAACTTTCCGCGTGCTTCATACCTCGATGAACGCATGCTGACGAATGAACCAATTGTTAAATATCCATTTATGTTAAATATCTACTTATTAAGCCACAGCAACTACACAACAAAACATTTTGAATGGGAAAGCTTAAGGAATCCATTATTAGTTTCAATAATGATTTTCCAAAAGCTTTTCATACATTCTGTTCAGGTCTGGGTAGTTAAAAAAGATGCCAAGGAGAAGCTGAAAGATATCCCAACCCCAGCCGCTGACGTCAGGAGCATCATGGAAGAGATTCACTTCACCGATGAATCCACTCGGTCACGATGTCGAGGCTGGGTGGTTCTCCAGTCACGGAGATATTTGCAAGCCGATATTTTGTTTCCCGGGTGCGAGTTTGATTGCAGACTTTTAATCGATGAACATGCAGGTATTTTCGTTACGTAATGAAATAAAAAAAAATGTTAAGTCTACGAATTACCTTTTACTATTTCTCAAATATCTTGCAGTCTTGGAATCTACACTGAATCAAGAAAAATAAAGACTTTCCACATTTTAGTTTATTTCATAGGACTTTGATTTTCTTCAATGACGTATTTTGAAAAACGAATATGGAGTTTTTTTTTATTTCTACTCACCCGATATGTTGTGAGATATATTTTAGCAGTTTGTTTACATCACCACAAAATTTAAAATATTGCTACACTCTTTCTTCTCAAAGAAGAACAACAGTCAGGGTTTAGGAATCAGAATGATCGTGATTTTGTTCAAAAAGGTCTCAAAAGAAGACCTGCTAATGAGAAATAAAGGATTAATTGGCTTCTTGAAAAGTTCTCTCTCGATGTATATTTTAACAGGAAGGGCCAAAAAGGTAGATTATGCGCCCGACGAAGAAGTAATACGCGTGTTAGCAAGATATCTATCTGGGCTGATTTTAACGGATGATGAACCGTTTGGCCTAAGACTCCCTGAGAAGGCGATACCCAAGGGATTTCATTTGACTCATGAGCGGCTTTCCAAAGGAAATGTGTACACGTCTAAACCTGGTTTCACTGTCATCCTGTCGAAAGAAAAATCTTGGAGGGCTGATGTCAAAGATAGAGCATTTAGAAAAACGGTATCGACTCTGCTTCATTTTGCCCAGTAATATATGATTTCCATAATTTTCGCCATAATTTCTTGACTCACTCTTGAAATATTTTGAAAACTTTGAAACAGCGATGAAATGAGTTGTTTAACAATATTGGATATCCATCAGAATCAAAGAAATTGTGAAGAAACCTCGAAGTGGCGAGACTATCTTCTTATACTTTTAACTTTTAACAACTGAGCTTTATATGCTGTAATAATGAATTCTGTTCACTTGTTTTCGTTGGTTTAACTTGAACTCTCTCCCTCTTTTTGTGAAACTTCAGCACTCTTTTAATCGAAATTTTCCCAGCCACGTAGAATGCAACTTTTCCTTAGTTGAGTTCTTGTGAAAGTATTCGGGTTGATTCCAAGGTCATTTATTTTCATCATCGTATATTCCTTTCACTAAGGTAGCTTGCTATTCACTGAACACTAAAAACAACGCTAGTGAAACAGTTCGTCCTGCTGTCTACCCATGATAATCTCCGCCCTTATACCCTATGAAAGGCATTGCTTGGAAGAGTGACAGGTTATATTATTATTTCTTTCCACTTCCATTTTTTTGGTAGACGGATGTACACCTACATTGCGAAGAGTGGGACAGGCTGCTCAGTAGTGGGCAGTGGCAACCAGAAGATATAGTGAAAAAGCTACCAGAGTTTCTCGAGTTTGTCAAGGAAGTTCAATCATTTGTTGTTGCTGCCATAAAGCGCAATGGAATAGAAAGAAAAGGTAAAATTGATGAAGAGCCATAGACCTCAAGGCATGGGCGATGGCATCGTCAAAACTAAATACATCTCTTGCATAAATAACAGCCTAACTATATCGTTAGAAAGAAAAAAAACTCATGTCCAAATTGCGAGAGTTTGCGTTGTTTGTAATTTTGGTCTTGATGTAATTTTTCAGCATGTCTAAATGAGGTGGAACTGAAAAAAATTAGCAAAGATACTATTGAAAGTTTTCGTTATGAAGAAGAATCACTGGTCGATGGAACGAGGAATAGAAGAATGACATTCAAGCAATGAGGGCTTTTTCTCAAGGCACTGTTTGCCAGAGAATTTCGGGGGCGTAAAGTGAGCATTGCTATAGCATGCAATTGCAATCATATTGTGAAAAATTATCTGAAAAATTTTGAGGAGTGCATCGATGCTCACACTGAGGCAATATTTCAAGATTCAAGTATACTTAGCGTTAATGATGTCTAAAATCTGCAATAGATAATTTACATCTCAACGCACAGGTAGGATATATCCAACAAAGGTTTCTGTTTCCCAACAGTACCAAATGTTTATACGCTTTGCTCTCAAAATGCCTGAATTGAAACTATTCCTTTTGATAAAAATTTGTTGTTCATTTTTTTTAATTCCTTTCACTCCTTTTGAGCCCGGTTATCCATTACACATAATTATATTAAAAACGGTTTTGATTGAGTCTGTTTCTTTTTGTACCCTGCCATTTATTTTGTCATAAACTAATGAGTCAGAATGAGTCAAAAGGAGCCTTGTAGCTAAACCCGTTATGGTTTCTCGTGGGCTTCTTTGCACTTTTATTCTATAGCTACTAACATCACAATTTCAATGATGGTTACAAAAGTACAACTTGAAAATAGATTTTTTTTAATAACTAAACTACGAGTATCTTTTCCGTTTGTTGCAGTTCCTCCAACGATTCGTGCTCGAGGTCCTTTAGCTTTGGCAACCTACTTAAATGCTTTAGCCGATGGCCAAGCTTGTGTCAAGAGAGTGCCTCTAATGATAGTTGGACAAGATCGGTCCGGTAAAACCAGCGTGAAGAAGTCTTTGAAAGGGATTTGCTTCAACCCCGATGAAGATAGCACCCTGGGAATTGAGGTCGATCGTTTAAAGTAACCACCGAAATATGGAAGACAGGAGAAAAAGACGAGGAGTCCAACTTTGACACTACAATTACTTCATTTGAGCATAGTGCAGCACGGTGGATTGCAGACAAATTGCCGACGCATGAAAAAATAGCTGAAGTCAAAAGAACAAGCTCAGCCGAGTCAGCTGGCTATGAAGTATCTGACACCCCAGAGGAAAGGGAACCCAATGAGACTAAAAGTTACGCAGACCTTCTTGAACCACCTAGAAATCCAGCATCAACCAATACCACTGACGATGAACCTCATTTACTAACCAAGGAAGTACCAAATCCTTCAGAATTAGAACCAGATGAGGATCTGCTTATCACCACGCGGGAAAAATTGCCGGATTTCGAAGATGTTGCAAAGTTAGTTCCCAAGCACCTTCGAGACAACTGGGAAGATGGTAAAGAAGACAGCCGGGAAGATGATAAAGAAGATATCTATTCCATACTGTGGGATTTTGCTGGACAGTCAGTGTATTACGTGACGCACCCCCTTTTTCTCACAAGAAGAGCAATCTACTTTTTGGTTTATGACCTGAGTAGAAATCCAAGCGACAAAGCCTCACCATTAGTGAAGCAAGGAGTACACAAAACGTTCAATGCAGATAAATACAATCTGAAAACGAATTTCGATTATTTAGACTTCTGGATGAGTTCTTTGGCTGCTTTAGAGGACCCTGAAACGGTGTTGCCTTTTAAGAAATTTCCCGCCGTTTTCCTGGTGTGCACACATGCTGATCAGCCCTATTGCGCACGTGATCCGGTTGAACTGGCCAAAGAAATATTTGGCGATCTAAGGACCAAGCCATATGGTGCCCACTTATTTGATGTGTTTTGTGTTGATAACACTAAGTCAGGCACAAAACCAGAATGTGAAGAAATCGTGCGCTTGCGAGATGGCGTACGTGTCGTTTCTAAAGAGTTACCACACTTAACTGAGGCTATTCCGATTAAGTGGTTGAAATACGAAAAGGCCCTTCGCGCCCTTAAGGAAAGTGATTACAAGTTTATCTCTCTTGTGACAGCGAAAGAGATTGCTTCCAAAGACTGCAACATTAACGACAACGAGATACAAACAGTGCTAAACTTTTTGCACGATCTGCGAGTTCTGATTCACTTTGATGACAGTCCAGAATTAAGTGAGTTAGTTTTCTTGGATATTCAGTGGTTGATTGATGTGTTCAAGAATGTAATAACTGTCAGAACCTTTCACGAAGAGAAAAACTTTGCCCATCTTTGGGAAAGACTCGAGAGAGAAGGAATCTTGGAGGAAAAACTTCTCAAACATGTTTGGAATTCTTTGATTCCTCAGAGGGAAGCCCACGAAAGTCTAATTGCAATTATGGAAAAATTCAGCTTGTTGTGTCCTTGGCCATCATCACAAGATTTTCCCGACAAGCAGTACATAGTGCCCTCTATGTTGCGAACGCGTCCACCAGAGGAGATAAGTAATCTCGTTGAATCTGCAAAAATTCCATCACTTTTTATCAAATTTGACACAGGTCGGGTCCCTCCAGGCTTGTTTCCACGATTTGTACTAGAATTTCTTCTGTGGTGTGGCAGAGAATTTCCCCGCTTTGCTCTGCCACAACTTTTTCATAATTTTGCCAGATTTAACAACTTTCCGAATCAAGGTCTCTCTTTGGTTCTCCTCTGCCATTCTTCCACAATCGAGGTGGTTGTCGTCAGTGCTAATGGAGGTATTGATATGGTGAATATGGCCTCAATTCAAGCATTCCGCAGCCAGCTAACTTCGATTATTAATCAAGTTTGGGACAAGTTCTTCTGGGTGAAGAACGTTGGATGTGATGTGTGCTACTTATGTCATGTTTGTTCCCGTGGACGCACGATCAGTCTCTGTCAACTTCATTACGAAGAAGGTTGTAAGCAAGAAGAATGCCTTCACTTCATTTCAGAGTTAGATTTGGGCGATGAAACGCAGGCCATTTGCACCAGGTCTGTAGCCGCTGTGGATAACCGAATTCAGGTCGAGAAATTCTATCCATGGATTTCCTGTGCGGAAAAAAAGGTTAAAAAATGATACTATTCCGGCTTTTACATTAGTGTTTATAACCATACTTATCATAATTGCTTTAATTTTATTCATCTCTCAACAACTCACCGTTAAGAAAGAAGAATAGTTAATAGTGCATAGTTATGCTAAAGATAAGACAGCCTTAACATTTTGGAAACACTAACGGGTGCACCTAAGGTTACTTGTAGACAGTTTCAGCCTTCTTGTTTTTCTAAATTTAGCACTTCTCTAGTATTGCAGCCTTTCATACTGTTATATAACAGTACTCAAGCTCAAAAAAAGCCATGAACCTTGCAGAAAAGGAAGCTCCAAATAAATATTCAAGCTTCGACGGGATTCGAGCCCGTGCACTGGTGGAAGCCAGATATTTTTTTCAGGCTTCTTATCTGCAGTTGCTAATATTGCAGATCAAATGTTATTTACTGCATCACAAATTGTATTCATACTCAAGACTTAGTGACATTGCACGAATGTTTGTTTTGTTCTATGATGCACTCACTATTTTGCACCAATATTTTTCCATCTGAATGTAGTGTGAGTGTAGCAGTTGTATTTATTGCAGCATTTAAATCTTTTGTAAGTTTTTCCATCTGCCTGTCGCGAGTTGTGGGTCTTCCGTACCACACAATTGATCAAGATATGGTATGCGGGATTTTGTGTTTTCAAATATAAGTAAGAGAATTTCTGAAAAGACAGAATTATTTTTGAATTTTTTTACTTTTGTGCTTTTCCTTGGTAAAGTATTAATCAACATAAATTTTTTACGATCACACCCAAAGTTTTTTTTAAATTTTATTATTATAACTTTATTTGACCCTTTTTTCCTTCAGGGTTTGTCCTCTTCAAATGTAGCTGCTAGATCACATGTTGAAGCATGTCAAATCAATCGAATGACGTCTGCCACAGCATTGAAGGTGACTCTCCTGGGCAGTGAGTGGAGTTCGTCAATGGGGGGCTTGTCCACCATCAATAGACAGCTTGCCATTCACTTGGCCAAACACTCTGAGGTAGACGTTACTCTCCTTGTCCCACAGTTTGCCTGTTTTGAAGACGAGAGGAGAAAGGCATCAAGTCACAATGTTTCCATCCAGGAAGCTAAGAAACTGGTTGGCTTTAGTGATCCTCTTGATTGGTTGAGTTTCCCACCAGGAGACCTTGTCATTGACTTTGTGCTGGGTCATGGTGCAAAGCTTGGTAGGCAAGCCCAAGTTATCAGAAATTCTCACAATTGTAAGTGGATTCAGGTGGTGCACACTGCACCCGAAGAGCTTGCAATGCACAAAAACTATCCTAAGGCTATTTGCAAAGGTGAAGAGAAGAATTTAACTGAAGTGGAGTTGTGTAAGTTGGCAGATGCTGTGCTAGCTGTTGGACCAAAGCTAACAGACGCTTTCTCTGCTCAGCTCCGCTCATGCAAGAGCCAGGAAGACATCCTTCAACTGACTCCTGGAACTTTCCGCGAGTTCTATGACGTAAAACAGGCCGAAAAGGAGAGTAACAAGTTCAAGGTACTGACGTTCGGCCGTGGTGATCCAGAGGACTTTAGTCTTAAAGGCTACGATATCTCTGCCAGAGCAGTATTTGAGCTAAAAGACAGGTCTTACAGTCTCATATTCGTGGGTGCACCTGACGGTAAACAGGATGAGGTTGCAGCAAATTTGCTGAAGAGTGGAATTGATAAAAGCCAGCTGATCGTGAGAAAGTTCGTTCAAAGCAAAGAGAAATTGAAAGAATTATTTTGTGAAGTTGATCTCTGCATCATGCCCTCCAGAACAGAGGGTTTTGGTTTGACGGCGTTAGAAGCGTTATCTGCTGGTCTTCCTATTCTTGTCAGTGGCAACTCAGGATTTGGTGAAGCACTGTGCACCGTACCATCAGGCAAATCATTTGTGGTGGAGTCTGAGGATCCTGGGGAGTGGGCAAAGGCAATTGCTGGCATCCAACAGAGGGAGAGATCGGTTCGACTTCAAGATATTCAGCAACTGAGGAGCTCCTATGAGGAGAAGTTTAGTTGGGAGAAACAGTGTGACATTCTCTTGGAGAAGATGAGGGACATAGTTCATGGTGAGAATGTTTTTTGAATGTCCTTCAAAAAGTGTTTTAGGGGGCTACTCGGCTTACTCCGCGTCTCATTTACTGTGATGGAAAGCATGAATACTTCATATAAAAAATATGTTAAACATGAATAGTAATCAGTTGTGTTATCCTCTTGTTGATTGCTGTGATATTAAACAAAAGTTGCTTTCTATCTTTTTAGCTTCTAAAAGACGAGACACAGGTTTCAAAACTCGGCAGGTCGAAGTTGTTGACACGTCAACCGAACACCTAACAGTTGATTCATTAATGACCCCAAGTGAGTAATAAAATAGTGATAACACACGATAATTGACATCCCCAAAGAAGTACAGGCAGGTTGCAAGGAGCTTTAACAGTTTCCTTTCCTTTACTTTCGACTTCAGGCCAGCTATGCTTCGTGAAAACTTTGTGAAGTACTGTTGATCATGTTTCTTACGAATGACGCATTTTTTTATTTATACCCCTGCACTCTTCGGTCGCAGACATAAGACTTGTATGAACAAATTTGATTTTCTTTTACTTTCTGATCCAGACAGATTGGCTTAGTGTTATTTATTTCTTTTAGTCATTTGAAGTTTTCATCCAATTTTAATTAGAAACTACCCTAGATTGCCCGAAACAGGTAGACTTGGGGCATTCTTTTGCTTTGACTCAAAACGAACTAAAGTTTAAATGCTGTTCCTATCAAAACCGGTCTATGTTCTATCCACAATACAATTGTCTTTCGACGCAATGTTGAAGTAACTACATATTCATAAGATAGAGAAAATACATCAGTTCATTTTTTGAAGCCTGTAATTTTTTTCCTGGACTCCTTTTTCCAGTTACTCGGAACTGTCAGAGAACAGACTTCGTCGTTAATTTTTCTTCTCTGCTTCTTCTCTTTTAATTATCAGTGTATTCATTCACGAGCAGATATCGAACTTAAAAAGTTACTCAATTGACAGCTGGAGCATCCTTTTTAAGGCTGAGTTGTTGGAGAAAACAGCGGTAGTCTGGTGGTTGAAGCCCTTCTTTTCCTTTTTACCTCAAAGTTTCTCTTAGTAGGTTGAGGATTGTTTTCTACTAGACGATGGTTTCCCTTTTTTCATGCATTTAGATTAATAAAAACCTTGTCTTTTCTAGGTTCTCTCGACCGAATCATTCAGGAACTTCAGCAGATACAACTCGATGCAAGCAAAGTCAAGAGCAGAACAGATCTATCATTGGAGCTGAGGAATATTGCATCAGACAGGGGCTTCAGAATATCTGACAATCAAGGATTAGGGAATTGCATGTTCTATGCCTTGTCCGAGCAACTGGAAATTGTTAAGGGAATCAAAATCCCACATGGCGAATTAAGACAGAACTTAGTCCAGTACCTCAGGAGTAACCCAAAACTTGTAAGTTGATGTATGTATTTCTAACAGAGTTTGTTACGTGATGTTATTATAAGGAGTACGATAAAGGTGTAGTGATAAAACAGGCCACTTGACTTACACTACCAGAACCTATCCCAGTGTTCACAACGTGAAGTGACCAGAAGTACTGTTATTGTCCTTTTCCAGGAGCTCTGATACTAGCTTGTACCCCTGGTTGAAAGGGGAACTTGAAAGATTTTAATTTATTTTTGAAGAAGCCACACAGTGATGTTGGTTAAAGTGAAATTAATCCATCACTTAGTGTGGTGTCCGAAGAAGGAGGCTTCCATGGTTTTAAGTCATTTGGATATTTTAGTTTCATAAAAGTTCCTTGACACCTACATCAGATAACAAAATTATAGTCATTCTCTCAATGATGGATCTCTCTTATTGTTTTCCTGTTGTTTATAAAATCTTTGAAATATACACGGAGGTATTGAAAGACGGTTCAAACCTCAAATTTGTTACTATACAGTAAATTGCCAATTAACGGTCGTCTCGTACTATTCCGACAAAATTACTCCCTGAGTCGTACTTCACGCGCTCAAGTTCCTATCAACAATCCTTTTAATTTTCCTTCTTTCGCTGATCTTTCTTACAGCCGGATGGAACAGATCTGTTTCACTTCGTCCATGGACATCAAACATGGACTGAATACCTCGTATGCATGGAACAAGATGGCGCTTGGGGTGATCACGTGATTCTGTGGGCCGCAGCAAACTACTTTGAAACGTACATTCGTGTGGTCAGCAGTCTATCCAATAGCAATGATGTAGTCATTACGCCACATTTTCCAGTTGACGAAAACAAACCTCTTGTGCTAGGACATATTCATGAGGTGCACTATGTCAGCCTTCAACCCGTGCAAGGTACAGCGCAATACATTACTCCAACTAAATGTAATTTTTGTCTTATAGTGATATTTTTGACCTAGGGCCCTCAATCTTCTCCCTTGTCGTTTAATCACAGTGTTCTGATTTTTGTGTTTACAGGTTAAAATGGCAAGCCCTTACAGTTACTTTGATCGGCCCTTGTGAAAAGCCCAGCCTTGCAGAATGACTACATAGGCATACAGACCATTGATGCAAATTGGCCAACTAGAGCTTCCTTCAGTCTTATTTATCCAATGTGAACTTCAAAAGCTTAGATTTAATTTCGGAGGCTCTATTATATTAGTTTTCCAATGTATCACATGAAAAGAAAAACAACCCAAATGACAAGGGGTTTAAAGAAAAAACATTACACCGTGAAAAGTTATCGTAACTATACAAAAGTGTACATGTCTTCGGGAAACAAAACACTATCACCAATATGAAACTTCATTTAGAGGGGCTCGAAACATAAATTCGATTACTCTTTCTTTTAATGGACTGACAAAAAGATTTTATTGCCACGTACCATCTGTATGTATAACTGAATGAAAACTATGTACAATTGTAGTAAATTAGCGAGCTATTCAGAGTATTCTTCATACATCAATACTTTTAAAACGTAATCGAGGTAATTTTTATACAATGAAACAAAAGCACATTCAATCACGGTTTAAATCACACTGTGCGATCAGAATATTTCTTTAGGCTCTATAGCACCATGATCTCAGCAATGCATGGAATAAACAGCACTTACAGTAGTATGCCTTTTCCCTACATTTAGAGGGCAGTCGATAATTGAGATAGATTGCAGAAGTCCGTCTGATTAAAATTTAAAATGAGAAAATCGAGATTTCAAGGTTTCAAGACTCCAGTCTGGACTGAGTGAGTTGGAAACGTTCCAAATAATGGTACTTCGCTGGAGGTTAGGCCGCAGCCTTTTTCTGGTCCAACTGATGCCAAGTTTCATAACGATTAAATTTCTCTTCTTTACGTTCAACTTCAAACAGGATTTCAGAGCATTTACAGCGATAACCCAACCTAACGTAACTACAGTCATAACTATACTGTAAACCCTTAAGACAGTCATGGAGTCATATTTAGCTTCTTGCGTGCCTTCTCGTGTCTTGCAACGCGCTCCTCGTCTCTCGCATGTGCAGTTCCAGTTCTCGCTTATGCGAGATTTTTCGTGCGTTGTGCCTCGTTTATCGACATTGGTTTCCTCAAGTGAAGATAAGATTTCACTTGATTGGCTTCTTCATTGTCACTTACGAAGGAAAAAAAGGTTTATTAGAAATTAACAGCAACTTTTCTTTCGGAATCCAGTTATGAATTAAACAATAACAATGTCAACGGTTATGAACAGGGACTTGGATATTTCACCAAACATCATTTGTCGTACAAAATCAGATTTGACCAGCTCCTTATGCAACTGCATAGCGATTTCCAATCTCTTTCCGGGACTTGGATCTGAGCTAATGAATGAATGGAATAGTTTACCTAACCATACCAGAGAATCAAATGGTATTGCAGCTTTGAAAAAGAATGTTTTAAATTTATTAAGAATAATAAATTTTTTTTTTATATAATTGTATGTACTTTTCTTACGACTTAATTAGAAAGACATCCCTTTGGGCGCTTTTGGTTGTCTCCTTCTCCACAACGTCTCTTTGTTGTGGTGATAAATTTAATTTCTTGTCTATTTGTAATCTAGTGGGGTGAATCTGCAATAATGATAAATTAAAGAGATCACATGAGCAAAACAATAGCGAAACACGTGTGTTTTAAAGCATTGTAAATTTCCCAGCCGTCCCATATAGAACTATAACTTTTACGCTCTCTTAGCAATGAAACCTCGACAGCTATTTAGTCACGTTTTTACTTTGAATTCAACGGAACAGCAACGTTTTAACACACGTCGCCGAAATAAAATCTTAACTCCCTCAGTTCAAGCGCCACAACAACCTCGAGAAACTCCATCCCGGGATCCAAAACCGGGATTTTGGTAATTTTTGTTGGTAATCACCGGCAACCACGCTGGTAATGATAGTTATTACGCATTCAATTTATCTTCCCCTTATTGTTACCATTTTCACAACCTGGCATTCTTAAAAATCTACCGATTACATATTGGAAATGAGAGTACGAAATTACAGTCAATTCAAGAGATGAATATTGTGTTAAAAAGTGGTGCAAGTTGAACAACAAATGGCCAAGTGTAATTTAGCAAGGCGGATTTCTATTCAACTATCGTACCCAGTCACTGGGTGCTTTGATAATCTTGCTGCAGTCTGTCTTTTGGTTAAAAGTCACTCTTGATGATTGCTGAAAATTGAAACTAAAGGCTAACGCAGTTCGACAAAGCCGTATCTTGCGTGACAACTACTGAGTAATTACATGGTTCCGATTGCATAATCACTCATAATTTATGCGTCGTACTCTTCTCTGCACGGTGCTCGATCGATTCCGCATTTTACAGGTGTATGTGTGCTTGTTTGCCATAAGATGTCAACAGAAAAAGATCGTTAATGGAGAAATAGTATTTTGTTGACGTGAGTTTTCCCAGACTTGATAAAGCATTCGTTTGCACGCCAAGCAGACCCATCCTATTTTAAATTATACCGAAAGCCCATTTTATTTTACATTTAACCGAACGCTCATTTTTGAATAGGCTTTGGTCGGACCGTCTTACTTGACCGTCCCTTATCATATTAATATCTGGGTCTGATGGTCGGG